TTGACAAATCTCCACATCATACCTTTCCTCAGGAACAGTATGCACAGTAATATGGGACGAAATAAAGGATACGAGCATTCAGCCGGAATCAGAAATGGTGATCAGCTAGCTGGTGATGCAGCTGAAAACTAAGCAGAGCCAAGCGCTGAAGGCTTGCAACGGCCTTGCAATGGCGAGAGTTGTAAGTTTTTTATTTCAAACCGACGAAATTGATACCTGCCAAATAACTTTTCCAACCAAGAAATGAACTTTCCTTGATCAATACAACCAAGGGTGTTAACTGCAGAGCGCAATTATGAGTTAAAAGCAAAACCGAACAACCGGGTCTTCCAGAATCAAACAAATAAAACGAGCACACAAGTACTTCATATCTTATTATCACTTACCTTTTAGTCGTTATCCTTGTGCAGCTCAACACTTGTTATTGTGAATATCGACGACTCTGTGGGGAGCGAAAAACAAAGACTTTTCCCAAACTTCATTTTCACAAAGGGATACTTCATCTCCTCTTTTTTTTTTTTTTTTATTAGAAACGTCACAGAACCTTAAACTCAGTCTTAGCTGAGCAGCAAGTTTCGCTTTAAACTTGTTAACAGAACTAACTTACCTAGGGCCAAAAACAGATGAAGTTTCATCCCCTTAGAGACCAGACTATTCAATATTCCATGGATTGTTTATCCATACGTAGGAAGTGACAAAGGGCATTTAAACATTTGTTGGAATTTTCCATATTAAGAAAAGAAGAAAACTAGGACGCCCTGCGTGGCAGTCTTTTCCTACGAGTCAGACGGGAGATGAGCGAGCTGTGCGGTAGTCTTTCGAAGGCTTACGCCGTTGCGCGGCTTCTTCTCCACTCACACTGCTCTTTCTTGAAAGGATCAGAAAAGGACTGCCACGCAGGCTAGGCCGAAGACGATTTTAATCACGAACATTAGAGAGCAATCACCTCTCAATTACAAGACACCTTAGACATGATTGAAGAAAGCAAAGCGAGAGATTGTGTTATGGCAGAGATAACAAACAATCGCTCTTGACCTTCAACTTTTCGTTGCAATAACAAACACACACGTTGAGACATATCTATTGTCTTGAATGTAGAAAGCAATTCATTACAAACATACAACCATTACCGTCGAGTAGAGAGTGGATTTCCTTTGGTAAATCACTGAAGTATACATGTTTCATGGCGTCACTGGCAGATATCCTGTTTCTTGGGTCACACTAATATCAAAACATGGCTTCTGATCACTGTCTCATCCAAATATTACCCTAAATGGTTAATATATGCAGTCTTGACCACACTGTTATTATTTGACGAGTGGTGTTGAATCACGTTGCGAAAAAAGTTTTGATACCTCAATTAATTCAAAGCTTCAATATTCCCCCCGGGTAACCACTCCGGGCACTCGAACTCTTGAAAATTGACGTGTC